GATATCCCCGGCGGGGCTCTCGTGTGGTGGGTTGCGGCCCCTCCCGCTCCCGCTCGATCCGTGTCGCCCGAGGCGGCTCTGTGCGCCTCTCCGAGTAGTTCTCGCCTTGCGTGGGAAGGCGCAAGATCCCACACGGGATCCCGCCTGGGCGGCCTGGCCGCGTCTGCACCCCCAGTCTGGGTAGAGGAAAAACCGAATCACTCCCACATCGCTGACTTGGGCACCCGGCCATTAAGTTCCTCAGCCCGGCTGCTGTGCTGCTCCACTCCCTGCACTGACCCCCCCACCTGACATGTAGTTCTCGCCTTGCGTGGGAAGGCGCAAGATCCCACACGGGATCCCGCCTGGGCGGCCTGGCCGCGTCTGCACCCCCAGTCTGGGTAGAGGAAAAACCGAATCACTCCCACATCGCTGACTTGGGCACCCGGCCATTAAGTTCCTCAGCCCGGCTGCTGTGCTGCTCCACTCCCTGCACTGACCCCCCCACCTGACATGTCTCACCTCACCTTACGAGAACGATACGTGCACACATGGGGTATGCCGATGCAGCTTTCGAAATTACGTGTCACATGATGCATTTCACACAGAGCATCTTTGTTATGTCGCTTCATAGTCATAAGTAGGGGGACCAGAGGTCCCACTTTTAAAGGGACAGTCCTATTTTTAAGCCCTCCTGCAGGTGTCCCTACTAGTCAAATTGTTCTGTATTTTTTCTCTATCCTTCATCGGTACCAATAGGTCCTAGTGCTGGTGGATCCTTGCTCACCAGCTGCCCACCCACCAGTGATGAGTGGAGGGAGAATCTAGTGGCCGATGACTGAGGGTGAGTGCAAGGCTGGTGGTCAAGCAAAGCTGCACTATGTGAGGTGGGGGGGCAGCTCTTTCCCCTGGGGGGTCTCAGTGCAATCCCTGCTGCATTCCTCCTCTTGGCCTACAGGCTCCTCCCCCCCCATCAGCCAGCCAGCCTTGGCTGCTTGCTGCAGCAGCTGATGTGTGCGTGTAGGAAGTGGTTGGTTACATGTCCCCTCTGATGCCCACCTCTGGTGACATGTCCCCTCTGACGCAAGGCTGGGGGAGGGGCTTTTAGAAAGTGGGTGGGCTTTGCCCACCCACTCTCCCATGTCCTCAAATAGGCCCAGGAAAAACTCTGGCCCAGGGCGCCTCCCAGAAGGAGCCAAGTCCTGCATATGCCAATTGGGAAGCTGCTGTGCCTCTCAGCTAAACTTTGGAGTAGCAGGTAGGAAGCTATTTCCAGCCAGTTTCTGATCCGACTGTATAGGTCCCCAAGCAGGGGTGTTTAGTACCCTTTTCACATGCTGACCCCAGGGAACATAGGGCTGCTCGGTCCCCTCCCTTACTGAGCCATCTGTCTGGCTAGATTTTCTGAAGCTTCTGCAGCCAGGTTCCCAGGACCCTGGCACTCAATGCATCCTTAGGGCATAACCTTAGGGGACAGGAGGTGGTTGGGTTATGCCAGCGGCCAGGTTGGAGTTGTTAGCGGCCTTTCTACACTGTGTGGGCAGGAAGGGACAAGAAGCTTCTAGCCATGGATGGAGGTGGAGGGGCAGGGGTGGGAGGGAAGAGATGCCTTTGGAATAAATATGGACCAGGTCATCCGTACCCTCCCCCCATCCTCCTTGAGCAGGAAGTAGCTCCCTTCCCTTCCTTTCTGCACAATGCTGAAGGGCTGCTGCTGGGCACGCTCTGGTGTGAACCCTAACAGAAATCCAGGGTGGGAGCACTGTGATCCTGCATTCCCTCTGCATTCCCTCCACATGTTGCTTTGAGAAGACTTGGCACCCTCTACCAGGAGAGGCAGGTCTACCCTGGGAATCCAGCCAGGTATGGCTGGTGGAGAGTGCTGGGTAGGGAAGCTTGGGTCAGGTTGGTTAGTCACCCCCATTCCCTTGAAAAAGTCTACAGGAATGTGTGTATTGCCTGTCTCCATGCACACTTTAAAGATAAGAAGGTAAATAAAAAGACTCCAGCTATACAGTATTTCTTATTAACTGGGGCTCAGTCAAGCTGATGTTAATTAAATGTTTGTACAGTACAGTTTTGATTGATTGCCATTGAACTCGCTTGAGTAGGAGTAATTTTACCAGGTGTCCCATATTCAGCATAGGGAAATATGGTCACCCTATTCATAAACCAATTTTCATAAAGCATGAGGGCGTGACAAGGTCTCCTGTTGACTTTGCCAGTATTGGCCTTTCTAGGCGCATTGTAGAGCACTGTTGCTAGGCCAGCCAGAGAGGAGATATCAAATCACTGGTTCCTAAGTTCTAGAATGGATGTCCAGGGCTTGTTTCCAAAGCAAGAAGATGTCGAAAGAAGCCCTGTTAGCATAATACCACTAGTAAAAGTGTTTGAGTTAGTGGGGACGAGATCATGGGTAACAAATTGTACCCAAAACTGGTCTGGTAGCACTTTATAGACTCACAAAACACATAGATGGTATCATGAGCTTTCGTGGGCACGGCCCACTTCTACAGATGACTCCGGTCATTTGAAGAAGTGGGCTGTGCCCACGAAAGCCCATGATACCATCTGTATGTTTTGTTAGTCTATAAAGTGCCACCAGACCAGTTTTTGTTTTTTAAGTTTATCCTGTACAGACTTAACTCGGCTACCCTCTGAAGAAATTGTACCCAGTTCTTCAAAATCAGATTTCAGTCAGATATTCTTGGCTGTTCATTTGATAGGTCTGTTTATACCTAAAGGTTTATTGGATTTTCATAGAATGCTTTTTCTTAGGTATATAGGCTCATTCTTACTAAGAAAAGTATTATTCACATTTCAGTTGCCTATACCTGATTAATGATTAAATTTAACCTTTAAACTTCCACAGCCTGCTAGAAGGATACAACTATACTATAGTCAGAGTAGGGAGAAGGAAATATTTACATCAGTTATGAAACCTATATGTCAGTCTCATGTTGCCTTGGGCTTTTAGAAGACAACTCTTTCTCTGCTGTATTACATAATAGCTTGTATTAATCAGAGTTTGTTACCGGTGGTCCACTTAGCCCAATTTCTTCAGATGCCAGGTGCTTCAGAGGGAATGAACAGAACAAGCAATCATCCAGTGAGTCAGCTTATGTTGTTCATTCCCAGCTTCTGGCAATTAGTAGATAGGGGGACACCTATCTGACCATCCCTGACCATCTTAGCTAATAGCCATTGATGGACCATTCCTTCAAGAACTGACCTAATTCTCTTTTGAACATAGTTGTAGTTTTGGTCTTTTCGCCATCCCCTGGCAACAAGTTTAACAGGTTGACTGTGTGTTATGTGAAGAAATACTTTATTTTGTTTGTTTCAAACTTGCTTTTAATTTAATTGAGTTATCCTTTCTGTTATGTGAAGGGGTAAATAACACTTCCATACTCACTTGCTCCATACCAATCATGATTTTATAGACATCTATCATATTGTCTCAGTCATTTCTTTTCCAACCTGAAAAATCCCAATATTTAAAAACTCTCCTCATAAGAATGCTATTTCATTCCTTTAATCATCTTTGTTGTCCTTCTCTGTACCTTTTCCAATTCTATTATTATTTTTAGACATTAAGGACAATGTAGATGCTAAAATTGATGCCATTTATTAAATGGCAAGAAGTAGTTGATAGAGTCAGGATTAGAGAGAAGATGTTAGTTCCAAAATAAGGGTCTAAGAACTGCCAGACTTATTTGGGAAGACAATAGATGGCAGTGGAATACTGTAGGTTTAAGCTAAAATAATAAAATTCATTTCACATAACTCTGGAAAGAATCTGAAACTTATGTGACAGGAAGGGAGGGCTGGAACTCCTGAGAAATTCTACAAACTGAGACTTAGACAGAAAAACCTGAGGATAATCAGATAAGTGGAGCAAGCAGCTCAGAGATCAACAGGTGTGGAGAAGCAGCTATGTCCCTGCTTAGGACGAAACTGACCACCAGCCTTTTTTCCAACTGCAGTGAGTGTGATAATTGAATACAGACACTGGGAGAAGAAAAATCAAATTGTAATGTTTTCTATTTATTTAGATGTTGACTAGTTTCTACCAAAAAGGCACCTAACCTTCTCTCTAGGCACCCTGTGACTCAAAAATTATTGTTAATCAAAGTAACCAGCCAGTTTAGACTAACTAGTCTCAAGTGTTTCTGAAGTGTGGTTGATATCAAGATATTTATAAGCTTCTGTAGAATTGTCTTATTAGTTCAATTGTCATTTTCACCTGATGCTACTTCTGTAACTGCTCTCTTTATTGCTGTATTTGAATAATTCTTCCAGTGCAGCAGGGTTACTAATTGATCGTGACAATGAAGTATGAACATCAGGATTGGAAATTAGGCCACTGTACAATGTATATTCACTAGAATTTATAAGATGAGCGTGTTTAGCTTTTGGTAAGTGCTTAAATACAAAATTTCTAGGAAAAATGCAAATGAATGTCTGTCTTTATCTTCCAGGACACTCTTCTCATTGTCTAAACATAAACCAGTTCACTTCACAACATGTTTCAATGAACACAAATGTTTACTGTATTTAACCATAGGAAATGCCAACATATGGACTTCCCTTCCTGATGGAAAGATCATAAACACAGTATAGGGTTAGTTCCCCTGCCTTTTGAATTAAAACACAAATGTTAGCTGCATTATGCTGGGAACTGAATTTCCTTAATTTAGATGATTCAGAGTGCTCCTGAATATTTGATGTGTGATATTAAAAACAGGCTTCTTTAAAGCCCCCCCCCCCCCCCCCCCCCCCGCCCACACCCGCCCCCCCCGATACATCACGGCTCAGTATCCATGGGAATATTACTGTAATTTTCGTCACCCACTCCTGGCTCATATTTATTTGAGAGCATCAGTTAGACTTGGAGCAGCCTGCCAGTTAATGTATGCCAAGTGGCCTCCCCTGCTGTGTGAAGCTCCATTTCAGCTGTAATGACAATTTGTCAGCCTGTTCTGTACTGCATTGTTCTGAGTTGGCCCTGCCTGTGCCTTTTCATACTGTCATCTCTTCCAGTTTGGGATTCCCTCATCCGACTGTTGAAATTTATCTCCTGTACGCTTATATTACACCATAACTAATAAATAGTAATCCTAATGACAAAGTAAGAAAACATCTTGTCACCCTACAGGAGGTCCCAAGGCTCTGTGCTGTCATTTCCGATTTACTGAGTCATTGACTAGAGCACAGTTAGAAGGGGAGAGGGATTATGAGCGATTGTGGAAGCTTCAGTTTTTGAAGTAGTAAGTAAAGTGAATAACAACATTTGTGAATGTATTGTGAGTTGTATTTTTCTACAAAACCAAGAGTCTTATCACATCATAGAATCATAATCATGCAGGACTTGGTATGACCTTCAGATTTATAAGCATATTCTCCACCCCATTATCAAAGCCATTACTACTGAACAGTACTGGGTACAAGAGTGTCTTCTGTGGAACTCCACTATATGAATTCACCTCCACAATGTGTGTATCCCTGCTGGGCCCTCCAACCAGGAGGATGGACGAGAAAGCTTGCATCCCTAGCCCCTTTATCTTTGCTCTGAGAACCCTGTAATCACAGGTGATCTGTTTAGGATTAGATCTGGTAATATCATTAGTGTCTATGGATGGGCAGCATGGGATAGTGGTCAAGGGACCAATGAATCTCAACAACCTATCTGTAATGTCTCAGGGGCAGGCTATAGACACGCACTATGCCACCATAAATTCTGTTATCTCTGGGTATGTCTACACAGCAAAGTTATTTTGAAATAACAGCCCTTATTTCGAAATAATTTTCCTAGTGTCTACACAGCCAAACTGCTATTTCGAAATAGTGGAGCGCTTATTTCAAATTTGGTAAACCTCATTCTATGAGGAATAACACCAAATTTGAAATAGCTATTTCAAAATAAGTGCTGTGTAGACACTTATTTCGAAATTGGGGGGCTCCAGCCTTCCCAGGGTGCCCTGGTGGCCACTCCAGCCTCAACCAAGAACACTCCTTTCCTTTCCCTCCTCTCCTCCCCATAGCCCATAAAGGGGTAGACTCTGGCCACAGTGCCTGTGCCAGCTCCAAGCCTGCCAGCCCAGAGCCAGCAGTCACTCTCCCTGACCCAGTGGCCCCAAAACATGAGCCAGCAAGCCACTAGCAGCCAGCCCTCCACCGCTCCCCAAGAGCAGTCTGCCAGCTCCTAGGAGCCTGCCAGGGCCCGGAGAAGGTGGGCACCTTCCGGGTCCAGGGCAGAGATAATGGACCTTATTCAGGTTTAGTGGGGATACTCCCAATATCCATGATCTCCGCACTAGATGGAGGAACACGGCCGTCTACGTCAGGATGGCTGCCAGCCTGGCCACCAAAGGTCACATGCGAATCCGGGAGCAGGTTTGCATGAAAATCAAGTTGGTCCAGTGAGACCCCCCCATCCCTGAGCCTCCTCTCCCCCTTCTTCCCCTTGCTTCCCCCTTCCAGCTCTCTCCTCCCAGTTCCCCCTCCCCTCTCCCACCCTCTTTCCTCCCCTCTCCTGCCTCCTTTCCCCAGTCTTACCAGAGTTTCATTCCCCCCCCCCCCCCTTTTGTTAAAGAAAGAGAGTTTGTGTTCATGAAAATACGTGTATTTTATTATAAAGACAGTTTGTGTTTATGAAAAAACGTGTATTTTATTTTACATCAGGAAGGTGGGGGGGGGGGGGGGTAAGTGGAAGGATGTGAGAGAGGAATGAGGCACAAGCCCCCAGTGGGGCAGACCAGGGAGACTGTTATTGCTCCTTAGAGTGGAAGCTTTCCCGCAGGGCCTCCTGGATACTGACAGACCCCCAATGGACCTCCCAGATGGCAGCCTGCAGAAAGTGCAGCCAGGCTCGCAGCAACGTGTCCAAGAGAAGCACCAGAGTACCCAGGGGCAGCTTTAGCTCCATGTTGCAGAGTGCTGTGGTGTCCTGAGTGAGGGCAACCAGGGCATGCAAAGACAAAAATGCTTTGCTGTCCCTCATTGATGTAGGCAAGCAAGCAGGAAAACCTGAGAACCGGCTGTCCGGGGGAGTCCCTTTAAGCACAGGCCTCAGCCTCAGACAGCAGCTGGTTCCAGCCGGCCTTAAATGCGATTCAGCGTCCACTCAGTGTGGATGCACTATTTCAAAATAGCAAAACACTATTTCGAAATGCATTTTGTGTGTAGACGCTTTATTTCGAAATAATCTATTTTGAAATAACACTGTAGTATAGACATACCCTCTGAGAGTAATATCTCAATTGATCTTTTTGAGTGGTGTATATCCTAATAACCAAATGTAATTCTATGTGTTATATACAGGTAAGCAATATTGCACACAAAAAGTTATCTTAAAAGAACATTATTAAATCAAACATTCAAAAGCTAGAGATATGTCATAATTAAGATTGTCTGGTTAATTACAGGCATCCCTACAAAGTGACTCTTGAAATGTTTCTTCTGGTAGAATTCTGGACTTGGTTAAAAGAATTCTCGGAAAAAGAGAGAGTTTTGAATTGTGGAGAGAAGTGACATTTCTAGGGGACAAATTACACTAAAAAGTAACATCTGGGGAGTCAAACACATAGGCTGCGTCTAGACTGCATCCCTTTTCTGTAAAAGGGATGCAAATTAGACACATCGCAATTGCAAATGAAGCGGGGATTTAAATCCCCCCCGCTTCATTTGCATAAACGTGGCTGCTGCTTTTTTCCGGCTCGGAGCTTTGCCGGAAAAAAGCGCCAGTCTAGATGCGGATCTTTCGGAAAATAAAGCCTTTTCTGAAAGATCCCTTATTCCTTATTTTAAGAGGACTAAGGGATCTTTCGGAAAAGGCTTTATTTTCCGAAAGATCCGCATCTAGACTGGCGCTTTTTTCCCGGCAAAACTCTGAGCCGGAAAAAAACGGCAGCCCTGTTTATTTAAATTGCGCCAGCCATTTTTATGCTAATGAAGTGGAGGAGATTTAAATCCCTGCTTCATTTGCAATTGAGATGTCTAATTTGCATCCCTTTTACAGAAAAGGGATGCAGTCTAGACACAGCCATGGAATACATACATGTTATTTCAGATAAAAGTCCTGATTTTTAGTTTAGAATAAAATTGCACATATTTTAGTAATGCAGCCGTCTCAGATAAATGGCAACAAATTTAATTTTGTCTTATTTTTAATTGTAACATCCTCTCCGATTAAAAATACTGTAAGTAAGTATAAGAGTGGAATTCGTTGCTGCATTTTCCTGATCTGCTCTCCCTGAGCTTTCAGACCAGAAACATTTCCAGTTGCTGGTAGTGAATATATTATCCTTCCCTCTTAGTTTAATATAATGACACTTTTCTTTCTAAGGGCTCCATTCTCCCCTTTAAGCAGAGAGGATCTGAAATTAAGACTTGGCTGGGCAGGGTTGGGAAAGTGAGGGAATCTGGCCAGGTCTACACTCCAGACCTATAAGTGTATATCTAGGTCATTTAGGTGTGAAAAAGCCACACTGTTAAGCAACACAGATTGACTGAACCCTGCTTCTAGGCAGTGCTATGTTGATGGGAGAGCTTCTCTCATCAATGCAACTATTATTTTTTAGGGAGGTAGATTAACTAGGCTGACAGGAGAAGCTCTCCTGTTGGCGTAGGCACAGCTTCAGTTAGCAATAGAGCTTACGCTGGTGCAGCTGTGCTGATGCTGCATTTTAAGTATAGATCTGCTCTATGTTCACAGAATTTCCCTCTTTCTCACTAAATGTCACAGAAACCTCTCTACAGGGATGCTGTGGGATCCAGATCTGCAGATCAGTGGAGGAAGCATGGCTAGGCCACTTTCCACAGTATGCTCCCAGTTCCCCAAACCACAAGGGAAAAGAGAAAATTCGTTCAGATCTGGTTTTGGTCAGGTTCCTGGATTCCATGCCATGGAACCCCACTTTAGTTTAGAGAGGGTTCAAAGAACAATCTGTTCAAGGTTGGTGCTCAAGAAGGGACAAAGCAGGAGTGGGAATCCTATGACTTCCTTTGATCTAGCCTGCGGCAAGGTTTGGGGCTTCTCTTCCTCCCCCCAGAGCAGGACAAGCTGGCACTACTGCGCTAGCTGCACTGCAAGTCTCCCTGCCTCAGCCTAGCACCAGCTCTCCCTGCTATGGGGGTGGAGGGGGGGCATTAGAATCATAGCGCTGGAAGAGATCTCAGGAGGTCATCAAGTCCAGCCCCCTGCCCAAGGCAGGACCAACCCCAACTCAATCAGCCCAGCCAGGGCTTTGTCAAGCCAGGACTTAAAAACCTCTAGGGATGGAGATTCTACCACCTCCCTAGGGAACCCAGCCCAGCGCTTCCCCACCCTCCTGGTGAAATAGCTTTTCCTAATCTCCAACCTAGACCTCCCCCACAGTAACTCTCCATCCTCTTTGGAACCTCCCTTCAAGAATTGCCTAAGCCTCCCCACAGGTCAGATCAAGGGAAGCAGGGAGCTGGATCTGGCCCTTCGGGGCTCCAGAGCAAGGAAGCCCCAGCACCCTGAGTGTGTATTCATGTCTCTTTTTCTCCCTTGGGGAGCAGGCCAGTGACGTTTGTTTCTTTTCTTTTCCTGCTGTGTTTTCTTTTGCTTTTTTCCACTGGGGGCAAGCCAGCGTGGTGTGCTTTGTTTGCTTTGGTTAGTTGATCTTTTTTCCCCACTGGTGTGTGGCCCCAGATAAGGATGTTAACTAGCGATTAATGTACTAGTCAGGTAGTCGATGGAATTTCCATAGATTACCTGACTAGTCGATAGGTACTTCCTCATTCCTCCTTGGAAATGTACAAGTGCCCCTGCTGGGGAAGTCCCTCTGGGCTGAACGCGGGCCAGCTCATGGAGCCCGGGGTCAGCGGAGGACTCCCCAGCTGACTGCAGGTTCTGGGTTCCGTGCAGCATTTCCCCAGTACCTGGGGTCAGCTCCCCAGAACTCCCCAGCTGACCCCAGGCTCTGCGCAGCTCTGCTGCAAGCAGTGCAGCACAGCTGAGCCAGGGATCAGCTGAGCAGCGCTGCCGCTTTGAAGTACCCCTCTTCTCCCCCCCCCTTGCGTCCTCTCTTTGCATTTGCTTATTGGATTGTCAACTAGTCGTTATCATCCATAGCCCCTGAATGATTTTTCTTTGGGTCTGCAGTCCCTGACTTAAAAAAGGTTTCCCACCCCTGGGACAAAGGCAAAAGGCACCTCCCCCAGGACTCCAAAGGCCATGCAGTCTTATTCCTCTGAGCATAAGAACTTGGTACCCAAAATGCAATTACTCCCTTGGGAAGCGATCAAGAATAGATAGTGAGGGAGCAGGTTCGTGTCTCCGTTGCATCTCAGCAGGGATCAACAAACCTGCCCAGGTGCAGAGAAGAATATACCTGGCAACTTGCAGTTGAGTGAAACAAAGATAATGTGCTCTGTAGGGATGTGAAGGACTAGTCGACTATCCGATAAGCAAATGCTTATCAGTTAGTTGACAAGCTTGGCGACTAGTCACGCCCCCTCCTTTGCTGCCTCTATCAGCTGGGCTCCTGCGGAGGTATTTCAAAGTGGCAGTGCTGCATGGAGCCCAGGGTCAGCAGGGAGTCCCCAGCGGACCTTGGGCTCCACATGGTGCTTTCACCTCTAAGGTGAAGATGCCCTATCGACTAGTCAAATAGTCAATACAAAATGCCTTGATTATTCGATTAGTCAATTACCTGCAATTTAACATCCCTAGTGCTCTGCTCCTGGAGGTATTGGGCATTGAGTATCTGCGTAATAATCCTATGTAGGGAGCACAGTCTTAAAAAGCATAATTGAGATTTGCATGTTGTCAGACTT